TTATGGCTCCAAGATCAGTGCTGCATTTTAAAATTATTGTTTGCCTTCGTATTTTTATGTTCTGTTTCTGAATCTTTTCAAGGATTTAAAAGTCTAATCTACACTACATCTAGAACCTACCCAGTTCCTGTGTCTGGGCCTGCCTTCTGCTTCCCCTTCCTTTGGGGTAGTAATAGTAATACTACTGGTTAGTGATAGCTCCCTGAGAAGCTTTCAGATCCTTTTCTCCAATATTAATATTTTCTCCTAATTTTCATTTATTTTTTTAAAAAATATGGGAATTTCATACATGAGTTCTAATCTGGTTTTCTAAAAGTCCAGATTAGTACTTTTAACTGGTTTCAAGGTATTTTAATAATTCACTCATTCATTATCATTCTGGACCGACTAGCAGGCAGGTAGGTCTCTAGAGTGATGATAATAAAATGAAAGGTCTGGCCAATGGAACTTGACTCCTAGCAAGAGAAGACATCCTAAGCAAACCCAAAATATGTCAGGTGGTGATAAATACCAGTGAGAAAAGAAAATCAAAGGAGAGGAACTAAGTAATGAAGAAATAGTGACTAAGTTAGAATTGGTGATCGTGAACTCTTTATACATTAGCAATCAGAAATATAAAGGGAGTGTGAGTACAATTTATATTTGCTTTCAGTGTTAAAATGTTCATCACAGAGGGAACAGGTTTGAGGGACAGGGATCAGTGGGGGCAAATATATCTGGGGTCCTGACAAAAAGGCATTCTCTCTCTCCTAGTCCCTTCTCCTTCCTTCTCCTCCCCCTCCTCTTTCTTTTCCATTTTACTCATTTTTTTTATTATAGAGAGATAACATTGATGATCCCAGCATTCAGGGATAGTGATAACTCTTGAAAGTTCACACACACACACACACACACACACACACACACACACACACACACGATCTCTCAAGTCTTAGCACTTGTTGCAAACATTCATAAACCCACACCAAGTGCATCCGGTCCAAGAACTGTATGTGCTCAATCACATAGGGCATGATATACAACATGATCTTGACTTTTTTTCTAAGTTGTGGGAATCATTAAAGACTTCTGAGAAGTATTAAGGATAGACTTAATAAAGTAAAACCCACACTGGCTGCTTTGTGGAGAAACAAGTCCATCCACATAAGTGTGGATACAGTCAGACCTGTTAAAAATGTGATGTCAAGTATAGTGATGCAGGAAATGAGATCTTATAGAAAAATGATAGCTTTAGGAATTTGCATTGACAGAATTTGCTGACATTATGAACTATAATATGGAAAGAAAGAGCAGAGTCATGTATGGATAGACCATAGAAAGTAGTAGGATGGAATTGTACTTATAGAAAGAAAAGTATTGAGTATATAAGTTTTGGAGGGAAAGGGAATAAAGAATGTGGCTTCCAATGGGTCAATTATGAGACATCTGATATATATCTGAAGAAAAGTGTCAAGTATTTGGTATGCAATCCCAGAGTTCAAAGGGGAGAGTCATTACATTACATAAATAAGTGATTTACAATCAAATAGAATGCATTTGATTTGGTGAGATATTTAGAAAATAAATGCAGATACCGATGAGAAATCTAGATGCAAGGATAGTACCTCAGCATGGTCCAATGTTCAAAAGTCAGGAGGGTAAGAGGGGGTTAGAAAGGGTGGCTGAGATTTACAACAGTGAGTGATCTCAGGCACTGCTAGTGTTGATAAAGAAGAGGCTGGAAAATGAATTTATAAACACAGGACCTGCATGACTTTGACAAAGGAAATACAATTTATGTGAAGCTGAACTTGGGAATGATCAGATGATAGCAGAGTAAGAAGTGGAAGTTGAGAGAGTAGTAGTACATTTGCTAAAAAAATGTCACCAACGGGGTGGATACAGGATGGGCATTTTCTATTTTCCAAAAGTGTTATGAGTCTAAGGGTAGTGATATTTGTTAAAGAAAAAGGAAGACATTTTACATTCCCATGGAAGTCAACTAATGAAGATGGGAAACCTTTACAACAGAGGGTTACTGTAGGTATCCCATATCCTGGGGTTCTGTGGAAAGGCTGGAGTTGCTTGCTTCAACCATTGTAGCATAACTGAAAATATAACAAATGCATGCCAATGTAAGGGTGTGATTAATTCAGTGCAGGAACAGTGTGAAAATTTCCTGCGATTACTTCTAATTTCTCAGTGAGTAAAAGGATTATCCTTGACAGGAGGGAAGGGAGATTGGGAGATCTGAGGAGCTAGGAGACTGTAAAATAATTATCCAAAAGAATAGCTGTTGAATACTCGAGACAGCAACAGCTTAAGAAATGTCACCCTGTAAGATGAGAATACACATGCACACACCTCAAGCAAGTGTCATTGGACAATACCCTGGCTTCACCGACATTCCTTTCAATTCTATTTTGTTCACAGAAAGTGGATAGTGACTCAGTAACCAATCTGGTAACACACTAACAGGTTACGGTGTGCTGTTTGAAAAACACTTATGCCAAAAAACCGAAGAGGAAATTTGCTAAAGATGGATAATAGGATGTTTGTGCAGCAAAACAGACTACTTCAGAATAAAATGGAAAATGAGAGTAATCATCACCGAGCAAACCCGGCACCCTCACACCCTCCCCTCCCTCTACTTAGCTCTCCTGCTGAGAGCACTGTTTATTTCTAAGTCCCACATTTTCCAGTAATGGACTGTAGACACATCGGTTTTCTATTTCCTGTTTTGGTCACCTTTTTCATTGAATGGATCATGATCACAGAATTCAAGTGACTTCACCTCTGAATTCCCACTAGCGTCCCTTTGTTTGCGTTCTGTTCCCGTAATTCTAACCATGGTTCAAGCCTCTTTTTGCTTTATATCTTACAGTTTGTTCTTATGATAATAATGGATAACCATAAGAAACCTGTCTTAAAATACAGATAATTTTGAAAAACATGAACTAAAATGTCACTTTTTAAGAAATTTTACCTGACTTGATGTAAATGTACATATTTCCAGTCATTTTAATATCTGTTATTCAATAGTCTCTGTCATTCTTCCGTTATATTTGGACTCATATAATGTAACCCTGCTGTCTAACACGACTTGCTTTTAAAATAATACATTATGAATTTATGGCCACATCAGAATGTATTTAGCAAAGCTGCATTTAATGGCAGCTGCCATGGTATCCCATGTATGGCGTTTCCCTGGGAACACTTAAATGCCCTGTGAGAACATGGGGCATGTACTCTGCTGTACTCTTCAGATTACAGACCACAGGGAACCTAATTTTCCAAGGACTCTAAGCTGCTGCTCTAAAAGTCCACACTTCTTATGTTTCAATCACTGAGTACACTGGAAATTCAGTCAATCACTGCATATACTAGAAAGGAACTTAGGCAGGGATACTTAGGCAGTGTCTGATATAGTCAGTTTCGTCTAATGACCTTTGGCTAAAGGTTTCTTGATAGCCCTGTACAAATTTCCACAAAGCAATGAGTTTCCATGAAACAACTCACAACACTTATACTTCTCTCTCTGAGAACCAGACTTATGAGAAGCCTAATGTAAGCTATCTTATAGGTTTTAAGACCTTCCTGTAAGAGTCAATACACAACTCTTTCCCACATTTTTTTTTACATGCCTTCCAATTTTTCCTAGCTTCTTGTACACTAATTTCTTTTCATCTCTGTCTCAGATGACTCAAATTGACCATAGACCTTCATGTGGTTCTCAGGTTAATTTTTCAATGTTTTGAACATTTCTCTATTGGAACTCTGGGAAGCAATTCCTTTTCCCATACCTGTAGTAACTTAAGCCATCCATCCGCTGTCCCTTACACCTACACACTACTGTTCCCATGCCTTTTTTCCCTCAGCCATCAAATCGTTCTCTAGTTGATTCCAATATCTGTTCACTGAACATCTCCCTCTCATCTGCCCCTTCCCTCCAAAAATAAAAACCAACCAATCAGCCAAAGAACAGATAAGCAAATACCAAGCAAGCAAACAAACAAACAAAAACAAAAAGCAAACACAAATAAATCAAAATCGAAAACAACAACAAAACCCTTTGCCCAGTAGGAAGCTTCCATCATTCTGGATCTTGACTGTTTCTAGTCTACTGTTCTTTCCCATTCTAAACACCATAAAAGTGCATTTTATGCGAGGTTTTCCCTCTGGGTTATATTGAAAGGGAGGCTGTACAGCCCTGTGGTTAGAGTCTGGTATAGAGTCTGAAACCAAACCAACCTGCTTTGTTATATTGTAGTTAAATTTTTAAAGACCAAAAAAAAAAAAAAATCCTATCTTTAGATAGTATATGATTGGAAAACATTGAAACAGAAAAAATGCATTTTCATTTTTTGTGTATTTTTAATTAAAAGACTTCTCAGAACCCTTAAAATGTGAATCGACGGAGCTGTCCAACACCACCACTGATACCCGATGTAACCAATACCAAATTTGACATGAAAGCTTTAAAAAAAACCAAACAAACTAGGTCATCTCCATACATTGCCATTTCTTGGAGCATACTGGGAAAATAGAATAGCTGTCAAAAATATGCATGTGTGATTTTCATAGTACTCTACATCTTCTCTGTCTTATGGTTATTTATGTATTATATATTTTCCTGACTGAGCGTTGTGTATAAGATCCTGAAGACAGTACAGATTGTTGAACTGAAAATCATGGAATTTCAATTAAGGTTCGTGGTTAGGACAACATTTGATTATATTCTAAGAGCACAATGTTGTATTTAATTTCAGTGTTTTGTGTTCCATCTTTTCATACCACATATTCTGGGCTATCTTTTAGGCTGGGGAAATATTAGTATTTTGATGTTGGCACAAAGCTGTGGTTAACACCGGGCTAAGCATATTATCTCTACAAAACATTGTCAGAAACAGTCCAAAAAGGAGAATATAAAAGACAGAGTTGAATTTGAAGGGCAAGAAATCAGGCGACCACGAACTCCAGGTCTTGGGACCCACTGGGGTATTGGAAAGGCAGTCTCTGCCTTATTGCTTGCTCTCATTTCCAAGGGTGTGCTTGTCAAAAAGATACTCCGCTAGGCCAGCAGCAGGGGCTCCCATGGTGACCAAGTTGTGCACGTGGTCACCTAATTCTTTGATAGACTTCACTTGCTCATGCAGGTAGTGGGTTTCCAGAAAGTCGCACAAGTGAGGATCTCCTTTTTCTGAGGCCAGAGTATGCAAGTCCAGCAGCGACTGGTTTACATCCTTTTCCAGGAGCAGAGCACATTCCATGGCCCGCAGTCCGCTCTCCCAGTCATCCTGGTCTGGCTTCTTGATATCCTGGAGGCAGATGCGGCCTCCACGCTGGTTCTGCAGCCTCATTAGCTTCTCCGCGTGCTCCCTCTCCTCCAGGGACTGGCGAAGGAAATACTTGGAGAAGTTGTACAAGGCCACATCATCTCTGGAGAAGTAGTAGGCCATGGACAGGTACACGTAGGATGCGTAAAGCTCCATGTTGATTTGGCGGTTGATGGCGGCCTCGGAGTCTGGGTGAAAGTTTTGCCGCACCCTGGCAGGCCCAGGGGTGTCCTGGGAGGAGGCCACCGAGGCCAGCAGACATCGACGGTAAGCTGGTAGGGGACCTAAAGGATACCTGGAGACCAAACACTGTGGGACAGTGCATCTATGCAGCACACGGGGCAGAGACATCAGTGCAGGGCCGGTGTGCTTGGAAAAAAACCAGAAATAGGACAGCATGACTCCTCTTGTTTGAAAGTAGGGGAAACTGAGGCCAGGAAAGCTCAGAACAAGGTCTGTGGCTGAGCTTCAGGGCTAAATGAGAACGCAGCCTTAGCAATGACCTCTGCGTCACACGGCCCTTCTCTTCCACGGAGTTCTAAGAGATCTTGGCCACCGAGGCTGGGTAACCGTCATTTGTCGGGTAGGCATGAGTGTCACACTGAGCCCTTGAAAAAGGGAACACAGACAGACACCATTTACAAAACCGTGCTGAATGACTAACACAAGATTCTGGTTTAGATAGCACGTACTTGATTAGTTTACCTAAGTTAGAATTCTGTTATTAAGAGTAGGTTCAGTGACTCACTGAAGAAAAGACTGAGCTGTCTCTGTCTCTGTTTACTGATCTTTCCCTGTCTAAGACCCTAGGGCATGGAAAGGAAGGCACACTAAGGAAGGCACTCCTGGTTATTTTAACAAACGTTAAGTAGGGAAATAGTTACCGGTGTAATGGACAACTTCTTAAGTGCAATAACTACTTTTAAAGCGCATTGTCTTTTTAAATACAGAACATACCTTTCTTGTAAAGAAGTCATTTTTTTTTTTTCGAGACAGGGTTTCTCTGTGTAGTTTTGGAGCCTGTCATGGAGCTCACTCTGTAGACCAGGCTGGCCTCAAACTCACAGAGATCCGCCTGGCTCTGCCTCCCGTGTGCTGGGATTAAAGGCATGCGCCACCACTGCCCGAGATAGATTTTTGTTGTTGTTGTTGTTTGTTTGTTTTTGTTTTTTTCCAGACAGGGTTTCTCTGTGTAACAGTCCTGGCTGTCTTGGAACTCATTTTGTAGACCAGGCTGGCCTCGAACTCACTGAGATTCGCCTGCCTCTGCCTCCCAAGTGCTGGGATTAAAGGTCCTTCACACCTCCCAAGAGCTGAGATTACTGGCTGCTCTTCCAGAGGTCCTGAGTTCAATTCCCAGCAACCACATGGTGGCTCACAACCATCTATAATGAGATCTGGTGCCCTCTTCTGGCCCGCAGGCATATGTGCAAGCAGAATACTATATATATATATATATATATATATATATATATATATATATATATATATATATATATATATATTAAATCTTAAAAAAAGAAAATGAAAATGAACTAATAGGAAAAAAACAAAAAACCAAAACCAAAACTGAACTCCAATTCTTTCCCTACCTAGGGATAGCTGCTGCTGAAATGTGGGTGATGATTTTCATTGGTTAAGATGATAGTGGGGGGAAAATTTCATAGAGGCATGCAAAATATTTAAAAAGATTTATCTAAGAATAACTTCCACATATTAAATTTCAGATATTTATCATAGTTTCAGCTTGACATCCGTGAAACCATCAGCTAAACCCAGATAATGACAACATTTGTTGACCACTTCCGTATCCGTTTGCACTTCCGAATTCTGAATTCTGACTCTTCCTGTCTAGTCTCACTCCTGACACCCACCGATTTGCTGTACCTCGCTTTCTAGGTTATCGTTTTCTCGGTTCCTCTACACTGTAACTACCACCAGGCCCAAAGCTTGGTTTCTTTCACTCAGAATAATAAAGTCTGTTTACACTGGAGTACACCAATACTTTAACTTATTTTTATTGCTGTGCAACATTATAAAGATAAAATCCAATTTATCCTACCTGCTGATGAACAATTTGGTTACAGGTTAGGCTATTACAATCAAGCTGTGAGTGGCATGCCTGTTTAGGTCTTTGTGAGTTCATATGTTTTCTCTTGGGTAAATAAATAAGTGATCAGATAATATGGTATGTGTTCAACTGTTTACAAATCACACAACTTTCCCCAAAGTTCCCGTATGATGACATTGTCTTTTACATGTTGAGTCCAAGTTCCTCCTGATGCTTGCTAACACCTGGCATCCTCATTCAGTTAAAGTTAAAAAAAAATTTGCAAGTCAGTCAGGCGATGGTGGTGCACGCCTAATAATCCCAGCACTTGGGAGGCAGCAGAAGCAGGTGGATCTCTGCGAGTTCCAGGCCAGCCTGCTCTACAGGGCGAGATCCAGGATAGGCTCCAAAGCTACACAGAGAAACCCTGTTTTGAAAAAAAACCAATAAATAAATAAATATAAAATAAAAAAATTACATTCATTGTGCTAGGTGTCCATTAGTATTGTGTTTTTAATGTGTGTCCTCGAGATAGTTAAATGACAGTGTGTTACCTGGTGCTGCTTTGCCATTGTCTTTGAGGAGGTATATGCTTAAGTATTTTGCCCATTTATATATCAAAGCATTTTTGTTTGTTTGTGTGCTTCAGGAGCCTTGATTTTTGTCCTTTGTGTCTCTGCTCCTAGTACTGTTTCTACTCGTCTTTTTTATGTCACACATTCTACCTTTTTATCCTTTTTCTTTTTTTTCCCACAAAGCAAATCACATGATGTTTCTAAATAAGTTTCTTCAATTGCTGATTTTTGATACTCCTTGGGGCCTCTGGGTGGTTAGAAAGTCCAATAATAGTATGTAAGCACTTGTAACACAGTGCCTAACACAGAATGAACACTCGGGTATTCTCTGACACATCCTGTTGAATACTCTTGTTTAAATTTCCAAAATCCATCATTTTATATTATTCAGTAAGCAAATATTACTGCAATTAAAAGCAGAATGGGAAGGCCTGTTTAGATTACTAGAAACACTTACCTGTATTATATAACATTGCTATCATGTGTAAATAGTGGGAAATTACTTTATTCTATGAGAATGCCAGTTTTATTGTTAGCTCATTCCTTTCAAATGAGCATCCTAATATGTACCATAAATAAAAGTGGGTGCTTAAAATCAAGAAATTAGAAGAACATGGATGGTATTTACTCAGCTATCCCTCTTGGGTTTCCACTTTTCTAGTCTCACTTTTACTTTTATTTCTTCCAAGCTTTTGCCATTTGTGAAATGTAATTTCCTAATGAGAGTTATGAAAATGACTGTTTAGAGTGATATTAATACCAAGTTTCTGCTGCTAGTTAGTGCTTCAGGAAAATTTATGCCATTCATTTAAGTGTTTAGCCCCAGTATAAGAAAATATATAGAGAAAGCAAGTACTGTAAGAGATATGGGATGCAATGCTCCAAATAGCATGTATTTAGACACAGCATGCTAACTGGTCAAAATGTCTGCTTTCCATAACAAAGTTTGCCGTCTAATTAGGCAGACCTTGAAAATGTAAGAATGTGCATGGTATGTGTTATGTCTATTTTATGAATATTTTGATTTCTAGTATTTATAGTAAAATCAAGCTTTTTTTAAAAACAATATACAGACTGAGACCACCATATACTGCTACTCTCTAGACGTTTCTTACATTTAATGGCTTCTTCTCTCCCTGGAGCACCTTTTCAATCTCTGCACTTCTCCGGAATTCCCTCTACAGCTTCACATTCCTCTTCTCCCTTTCCAAATTCCTTCCCGAAATTCTTTTACTACCTAATGAAATCTTTCTCATCTTTTAAAAATCCATCAAATATAAGTACAAGTACTTTTTTTTTAAAAGATTTTGTATAACAGCATTCAGAATTAAACACCACTTTGTTAATGTCAAACAGTTCATTATAGTGAGAACTCATTGTGTTATAATTCCAGTATACAAAAACGTGTGAGTGTGTGTTAAGCATGTTTTCATAAGCAGAGTGTGCTTTATTCTTTCTAAATTTCCCAGGATTACCACAATGCTTGATACACATTAAGAATGCATGAAATATTTCCAGTTGCCTAAATGAAATGGAACAGGAATTCATATATATCATTTCAGATTAGCTGAATATACTTATATAAACTATTTTGGGGGACGTCTTTACTGTAATTTAAATTCTGTGAAATTGCACAAAAAGTCTTCTATAATTTGGTTGGGTCATATTCTAAAGGAACACAATATTTACTTTTTCCTCCTCTATACATGTATTAGCAATAAGCTATTATCATCTGTGTAGACATCCTTGGCCAATGGGAAATTAAAGACTTGAATGGAAGTAAATTGTTTTGGTTAACTCCTGCTTTGATTTTTGCAGGGCACAAGATTAAATTTTCTATTCGTTTCTTGAAAGCTTTTTATTGTATATACGAAAAGTTTTGAGAATGAACTTAGCTTTGAAAAAGTCCTTTACATTTGTAGAGGGGGCAGATTCAGAAACAATGAGGAAAAGAACAGCACCCACCCCTTTGTACTTTGATCTTTAACAACAATCACTTCCTGTTTCTCTCATTTCCTTTAATCAAGACTTTTATACAAAAGAATCAGTCACATAAGCAGTTTCATTAGTTATGCTGGGGTGTTTTTTTTTTTTTTTTTTTTTTTTTGAGACAGGGTTTCTCTGTGTGGGTTTGGAGCCTTTTCTGGAACTTACTCTATAGACCAGGCTCACCTAGAACTCACAGAGATCTGCCTGCCTCTGCCTCTGGAGTACTGGGATTAAAGGCCTGCTCCACCACTGCCCAGCTGGTGTTCTTTTTTGAAATTACTTATCAAAAGGCTTCCATGACAAGTTGAAGATGGTGATAAATCCATCGATCATTTTTTGGAACCCAAAACACAAACCTCATATCAAAAGGGATGTGAGATAATTTGTTCTGGAGCCAAATATGAGAGGCCATGGCCCCACAGATTCAGGTTACCCTAGATTCCATGTTCCAGTGTAGAAGCAGTTTTGTGAAGTGTTCATAGTCACAGAACAATGTCAGTCATACATCAAGGTACTCTTCAAACTCATTGGTGGAAGCTTTAAGTAGGTGGCCACAACACTGTGCAAAAAACCTCAGCTGTCGACCTTGGATGCTGCTGAGGACTCAGTCTTTTCATTGTTAAAAACTACTGTTTTGTTAATACAGTCCAAAAAGTGCTGTCTGTTATTCTCAGGATGTTAAGTCTGATACAGAGTTGGGCAAATATAATAGCCCTAATAGCAACTAAAAATATCCCAAGATGAATTGTGGTTAGGTTCTGGACCTGTAATATCAAAAGTCTTTA